AGAAGATAACTAGATTCCCCCGTACTGGGCCAATTATGTACTAAATATATTAGCAAAAATGCTTGAAAAAAATTGCGAGGATCCGTGTGGGTCTTTGGGTGGGTTTGTTTGTTTTTAGAAAGTGAAATAGAGGCACTGCGGTACTGTCCTGTCAGTGTGAGTGAGCCGGGGACGCGCCGTGGCATACCCAGGGAAGGACGCAGGAGAGCCACATTAATGCCAATTAATTCATTATGAGTTCTAACTCTGGGACGACGACGCATCGTTCTGCGGGTGTTCTGTAGCAAGTGTTAATGAAAACTGCTGCGTTAAGAACATGCTTCAGCACTTCAGCCCACGTGCCCCTGTGTGCTGGAACTGTGGCTTCAGCTTCCCTCCCAGATGAAGAACTTTAATTATGTTTTGATGTTTAAAGCACACCAACTAGTCTCTCCTCAACCCAGGAGAGCCTACAGCTATCTGCACCAAGCTCAGCCCCTGCCTTTCTTTGCCAGGGATTCTAGCTCCAGGAGAAAAACAATGAAGGGAGCATCCCCCGGTAGAGGCGCGGAGAAAACTTTCTTGAAGCGATTCTCCCGACCCCTCCCCCTTGTTTCCTTTTAGAGGATTTTGGTCTCAGGCAATGTTGCGAGTCAATACTTCTTTCCCCAAATGTGAGTAGGTGGGTGTGTATGAAAGCTGTAAAAGTTAATGACCCACGTCTGACTCAGAGCTCAGGGTTTCAAGTTGAGGAGAAGTGGGGAATGAAAAGAAAGAAAGAAATTAATGAGGGTAAAGAGACATGCGCTGGAACCATCAATGGGACAGTGGGAGAGCCCGTTCTAAGGTCTGAGGGCGCGTTCTGTGGTGTGTGTTTTCCTGTGGTAGAATACCAGGAAGTGAGGAGGCACTGCCTTTGTTAGACGGTGGTTTTAGGGTGTTGCAAGGATTCTCTGTCTGGATCTCCGCAGGGATTGTAAACCCAGGAATCTACTAGCCATCCCAGTTTGCACCCCCCCCCCCCACCGAGTGTGAGACTTCTCTGGCACTTTTTAAGCAGACAATATCAGAATGTCAGGATGGGTGGAAGTCACCAAAGTCCTGGGCAAGAGTCCATTTTCTATTGAGTGAAAAGCCCCAGTTATTGTGGGGGGTGGGGCGTGTTTGTTTCTGCCTCGGTCTCCCCAAAAGGATGAGGACCTAAGACAAGGTCTCAGATAAACTATTAAAAAACATTTAAAAACTGGTGATGTGGAAATTACAGTTCAAGTGAGAAAAAGGCAGAAGGAAAATAGACCAAGACCCCAAGAAAACCCAAGCTGCTTAGGAAATGGATGAGTGAGTGCATGCGTGTGTGTGTGTGTGTGCACGCGCGTGTGTGTGTGCATGCAACTGCGCGTGTGCACATGTGCATACAGATAGATATGAGACAGCCAGGTGATTCATAAAACTGAAAAGTAAGCCTGTGCCCCGCCTCATCCCTTAAGTCACGTGGACGGTGCAGAAGTTCCTCTTCTCCCCATTGGAGGACTGCTGTTTTGTTTGTGGCTTGGAGCATGAGATTCCTGTGGTTGACAAAGGCCGTTTCCTCTTCTGTCCCCGGGTATCTCTGATCTCCAGTATCTGCAGCATCAAATTTAGAGTCAGTGGTAATGATTAGAAATAAAGCCAGAGGAATCAAGATAGGGTAATAAGGGAAGCAGAGAGTGTTGCAAGCATTTGCCTAAACTGTCTACTCTTCCTGACTCTTCTGGACCAGAGGGGGCCTGGCTGCTTGGGTGCTCTAATAAGGAGGGGTGTCTGACTGTTGTGACTTAGGAAGGGAAGGTGTTATTTTGTGGGACTTCCTAGGAGGAAAAAAAGGAAACAAGTCTGCTGGCACCCTGGACCGTCCAAGGGGCGAGGCTCTTATCCTGAGCACCAGACACACCCATATAAGAAAGCCACAGAGGTGTGCTGGGGAAGTGACTTGGAGCCTTCCAGGTGACCTGTACAAAACGGGTTAAACATTTTTAATCTCAGATAAGGCATAAGCCATCTTGCCCTGGACCTCTGTCTTCGTGTAACCTCAACACAGAGGCCTAAACAGGCTTTGTTTTCTCCTTTCTTACTGTGGGGGTGGGAGGCAGAGGCAGGAAAACAGGAGCTGGTTCGGGCTGGAGTGCCAAGTTCTTAGGGAACATCTGCATTATATCTTTAAGAAGCTGGGCTGTAAACAAACAAAGCCACTTCATGATTTATAGGGGAGCAAAAAATATGCTGGTTACAGCCTGTGTTTCAGAAAAGCATTTTTGGGGAAAGTGAGGGTAGAAACCCCAAGGAGAAACTAAAACATTTGGTATTCTTCGCTCTGGCTGGAGGGAGCCTAGGTTCCGAATTCTCTAGAACACAGTGGTTGGTGGCTGGGAGAGATCTTACTTACTGAGGGAGCCTTTTGCACCGGCAGGGGCTGGGAGTGGGTCAGAGGATTCCTGCACTGCTGGATATACCCTAAGGAAGTTACATTATTTGGAGGTGTAAAAACGGTGTGGGGGCGAATGTAGGCTTCCTGTGCAGGCACGCTTAACTGGAGGTAAATTGGTTCTTGATGCAGGCTTCTCTGCTAGTGTCTTTAGAAACTTTCGCGCGCGCGCGCGCGCGCGCGTGTGTGTGTGTGTGTGTGTGTGTGTGTGTGTATTTTTACTCTTTTAATTGCTGCATTCACTCCAGGCTCACTGGTGTTTTATGGGAGGGTGATGAATGCAAGGATTAAGAATGGAACTGGACAAGTGAAAATTGCGTTTGGCAGAGTCACAGTTTCATTAATTTATTCATAAGACGATGACTACATGAAATTATTTTCCACGGCATAGCCGAAGTTATCAGGTGTCCATTCAGTTTTAATTGACAATATAAGATTCCTGTGGTTACCCTGAGTACAGATTGCCTGGGGCTCCGCAGGGTTTGTGGGAACAGAAGCTTGGACAAGTTTCCATTAGCTCTGAATTGGGCAATTGGAAAAGAGGAGAATAAAACCCTTGAAAGGAAGGACCAAGTTGTTACTGTTGCCTGCTCTGCTGAGGAGAGAGGACCCTCCTCTCAGACAAGAGCTGTTCCCTTGCAAGGAATTCCAAACTCGCAAAGAGACCTGTCCCCCACACAAAAGTTGTTTTAACATGGTGGAAAACTGTCCCAGTAATGAGTGAGATCCCGGCTTCCCTGACTGGGGTGGGTGGTTGGGGGACAAAGGGCACAGACAGACGCACCTTTCTTTTTGAGCCAATTGCTTTGGATGGGCTCCTTGAATGTGGTGGGGAGGGCTGTGTGCACAGAGGCTTAGTTTACTTTGTCCATAGTAACTTGTATGAGGGGAGTGGTTTATTGCTCTGCTTTGGCATGTAGAGAGATTATTGTTATTTTTGCCCAACTTTAGTTTGTCTTTTAATTTAATTACCATGTTTTATTACAAAAGGCATATATCATTTTTAGGTTTTTATTTGTTTTTGTTTGTTTGTTGTTTATTTCGAGACAGGGTTTCTCTGTAGCTTTGGAGCCTGGCCTGGAACTAGCTCTTGTAGACCAGGCTGGCTTCGAACTCAGAGATCCACCTGCCTCTGCCTCCTAAGTGCTGAGATTAAAGGTGTGCATCACCACTGCCCGGCAGTTTTAGGTTTTTTTTGGGGGGGGGGTAACTGTTGAGATCCTCTTCAAGTCCACTGTATCTTAAAAATAGGTACTTATTATATTACATTTTGAGTAATGTAGGTTTAGACTGTATTATTACAGTGTTGTTACATTTTAGTTCAGAATTTACGGGAATCTTTTTCCTTTTTAAAAGCACTAACAGATCCTATTGAATGACTTTCTTTCCAAGGAACAAGATAACAAATTAATTGAGTTTAAAACTCTGCTGCAGCCCCAATGGTACTTGAAGCACAGAAGGATTCTGATAACTTAGTTCTGAAGCAGTCATGGTTATAGTTTCTGGGGATAAAGATAATAATGTAGATGTTGACCCAAGTGTTTGGAGAAGGTACCCCAGACTTGCCTGCTGCAGGAGTGGGTAGGCAGGGAATCTCTCTTGGTCATCTGAAGCTTCCTCAGCTGTCTGAGTATGGTAATGCATTTCAGAACCTGCCGAGACCCCTCTGTGATTATTGGGTCAATTATCAAATGTCTCAACCCTGGTGCCTGTTTATACCAGTGGGTAGCAGCCTAAGGGTAACACGCATCATTTGGGAGGAGGAGGATTTGGGGAGGAGTCTTGGTGTTTCTGTAGGGACTTTCACTTCTACAGTGGGGGGATGTGTATGGCTGTAGAGGGAAATCCTGGGTTGAGAGCCATGGTCCTAGGACTAAGGCAGAGATTCACTGAGAGGTGGTCCTTCCTGACCTGGGGCTCTTGGGTAATGCTTGCTCCCTTTGAGGGAGGTGCAGATCACTAGAATGCGGGTTGTGGAGATGCCTTAGAATCTAACGGCTTAGTCATGGTGAAAGAATGTATAAGGTGCGGGGTGGCCCCTGAATTCCGTAGAGACATTTGTTTTCCCAGAAATAGATTTCTGTCTGAGAGCCAGGGTTCAGTTGTTAGAGATTTGGGGGGTGGGGCTTGCACTTGCAGACCAGTGGCTGCTCACAGCACTCTCTTTCTGTCTTCGCTCTTGCCTGTGTGTCGCCACCTTTTGCAGCACCCCGTTTAGTTTTCCTTAGCCTTCTGCTCAGCACCCACCGACTTCCTCTGTGTCTTCATGGGCTTCCGTCTGCTTTCCGTGTCATTCCTGCCCCTCCTCCTCCCCTTTTCGATTTTTGAATGGGTGCTTAAAACAAAACAAAAACAACAAAAACCGAAACTAAAAACAAAAGCAACAGTTCAGACAAGTGTGATCCTCTCCTCCTTAATGGTGCAAGTCCTCAGGTCTCGACTGAACGCCAGGGCGGCCTTTCAGTCCAGGGAGGTTTGTCTGCTATTCATGAACTGCTTAAGATGTTTCCTTGTAGTCTGTGACGTGAGCAGAACGCTTTGGTTTGGTTTCTTCCTACAGCTCCATTTTCAATCCGGCAGCAATCATTACTCTGCGTACAAAACGATTGAACACCAGATTGCAATTCAGGTAGGAGGCGCAAGAGATTCTGAAGCTTGAATTGCCAATGTGTAGGTCTCTTGTGTCTTTTTATTCTCTGCCTCCCCCACCCAGATGATGATGATGGTGATGATGGTGATGAGGATGGCCATGATGATGGTGATATGATGATGATGATGCCATTATGATGATGATGAGGTGGTGGTGGTTTGAATCATTGAGGGAGGTGGGAAATCAAGAAGAACAGAAGAAATGTTGCTAAATGATTGAAAGTTATGAAAAGAGTCTGTGTTGTCTAAGACTGTCTGGATCAGGCATTGTGGGTGCTCAGACCCCACGTCGGTTGTGGTTACTGCATGCATTTTACAGAAGGAAGGGCCTTGCGTTGGGAGTCAAACAGGTTGGCGAATTGGGAGAGGAAGCTGGTGAGGAGGCCATGTGACAGCCGGGGAGAGTTGTTGCCTGTGGATCAAAATCATGGCCAATGGTGCCAAGAGTACCACTTTCGACCTGATCTTCCCGAAATGTTGATGTCTTTGGGGCCTCTTGATATACGACATGAGAAGTACTGGAAGGGAAAGGCGGCAGATCCCAGCCCCTGATGAGTGTCCTGTTTCCTGCTCACGTAGTACTTCCATCCTTCTAAATCCAAAGGCTAAACAAACCCCAGACTAATATAGACATGGGGTTGAACAGCAGCCAGCAAACAGCCGCAGCGGAGTCAGGCAGACCAACTCGTTTTTGTCCGGTGGCCTGGCCTTGCTCGGAGGGATGTCCCGTGGTGTCCCTCACCGTACCCCACACCTTGAGTGTTCTGCGTTAACGCTCGACTAAAGAGTGGAAGTCTGATTTATGGTCTCCTAGGTTGCTTTTGACTTGGTGAATGCCCACTTTCTGCTGTCTCTTTGGGAGGAAGCCTTTACAGGGTGGTGTGAGTGTGCTTGTGGACATGCGTGCCTATGTCCAGATGAGTGTGGACATGTGTGCAAATGCACATAGGTGTGTGAGGGTACATATAAATACATGTATGTATATGTGTGTGTGTGTACTTGTATGGCCTGATGGAACTCCTGTTTCCCACCCATCCTCCTGCGTCTTCTTAACTTTGCCATTTCAAATCTGCTTCAGCCTCCATATTACTCTAAAATAGCCATTTGCCCCAGGTGAATGGAACGTCTCTCCAGCAAGAGGCATGACTGGCAGGTCTTTCAAAAATGTGGTTGGTTCCTAGTCTTTCTGCATTTATTTCAAGGCTACAGTAGCTGTACCTAGCAATATTGAGGCTACACTGTGCTTGGGTAAGGTACTGATTGTATGTCTCTTGACTGGAATCCTTCCACACCCAGATATTTTCACAAGTGCTGTGTGTGATCAGCACGAAACTCCGATTCTTTCTGACACGCTTCCTGTCGGAAGTTGCTTCCTTTTAAGGCCCAGTAGGTCTTGCTTTTGGAAAACAGTTTAGACTCAGGGTTAGCTTAGAGAGCAAGTCTAAACCTCAGCCCCGGGTGAATGGGTGGATAACCAGAGTGTCCGCAGGCTAGGGAGCCCTACTCCAGCACTGGAGGGCTGGAGATCCTCGTTGCCTGGGGTGTGGGAATTGTCTGAGACTGAAAAGGACAGTGATCCTTATCTTGGTGTGGAAAGGCTGGCTGGGGCCCTGCCACTGGGAGACCAGCCTGAGAGCAGCCCAGCTGCTGGATCTTTACACCGGCGCTGAAGTGGTCCTTGTTTGAAGGTGCAGTCGTCTTTCTCCAAACTACCTGGCACGATGCGGGCCATGGGAAGCCCTTTCTCAGGAGGAAGATGGAGTGGATTACAGAGCTTATTGTTTGAAGGACTGAAACCATCCCTGTTCTTCCATGAACAGGTAGTATTGTTCTCTTCTGCTTCTGTTTGCTGAGGCCTGATGCCCGTGTGGGCAAACAGAGGGACATTTTATGGATCCCTGGCAGTACGCTTTCAAAAGTGACCATTCTCCCTCAGCGTCTGCTCGACCAGCACAAGGCCAAGCCAAATGGCAGCTAGCTGTAGTTTTAGCGTGATCATCAAAGGATAAATGGTCAAAAACAAAACAAAAGAAGCGGAGGGAAAAAAAAGGCAAAGCTCAGACAGAATAAGATTGTTCTCTGAATTCTCTGGGTGTTTCAGCAGCCGTCTGGGTTGGGGGGGGGCAGAGACAGCAGCCTGGGGGTGGGGAGACAGAAGCCTTGGAGAGGGACAACACTCTGGGTGGGGCAGTGGACAGCAGCCTGGGGTGGGGGACAATAGCCTTAGGGGGGGAGACAGAAGCCTGAGAGGGGACAACACCCTGGTGGGGGGGGGCAGCAGCCTGGGGTGGGGCGGGCCTCTCCTGGCACACAGAAAAACCGACCTGGCCTTCTCTCATTCCAAGCTTAAATCCAGCGTGATGCTGGGGCAGCCGTTTCTTCCCTGGAAACTGAAAACTGGCTGAACCTTAACAAATACTGTATTTCAGCAGGAGCGGAGCTTGCTGCTCTTCGCCAAGCTCCGTCCTAAAATAACCTGGTACTGTGACACCGGGCATCACATGAGGCTCATTCCTCCCGCCCGCCCTCCCCACCCCTTCTGTCATCTCAGCACTCAGCCAAGCTCACCACGGGTGTGAACGGCCTCCCAGTGATTCCACGGACCTGTCGCTTTGTCCCCCAGTGTCACTCGCTGTGCTGGGCACTTCCCACTTTTGGTTCCATTCTAGCTCTCCGTGGTTCTGACATGACAAGGGCAGTGAGAATGACCAAGAACACAGTATAACTGGACTAAACATTAAAGGGGCATGAATATATGTACTGCATGGTTATTATTAGCAGTGATAATAAATCGTTACTAAATTCTGTTGTGTGTGCGCGTGTCAGTGATGGAACACAGGTCCTCCTGGATGTTGAGTGTGAGCTTGTTCCCTGAGCAACATCCAGACCATTGGCTTTTTAAAAGTGCCACTAAGCCGCACGGCACAGCCCGCGAGTGTTTAGTAAGGAGGAGCATGGACTTATAAAAGTGAGAACACCCAAGAGGCCCCACCCACGTCAGTGCACTATTGGGGGCGGTTAAGCTTTTGAGGCTATGTAGTCAGTCTGGCTAACTTAATGTTACTTTAGTTTGAAAGCATCTTGCGAGAAATATGAGGGAAAAGCATGGCTGTGTTCCAATAAAGCTTTATTTATAAATACAAACACTGGCTGGAATTGGACCCGGGGTGAAGCTTGCTACCCTCTGATGAAATACTCTTAAGTCTGCCTTGTTCTTCCCCCTTCCCAGTGTTGTGGCTTCCTCTCTTTCCAATCTGCAACAACAATCCCAACAGTAGATTCCTTTAACTTGTTGTTTTTTAATGGAATTGTCCAGTAAATATCATTCTGTGTTGTGGGATGCTTGGTTGCTTCCAGGTTTACGCTATCCCTAATTCGGGACTAGTAGTTTTGGATTTCTTTTGGAGGAACGGCGGTGTCTGCGCCTGTTGTCCTACGCTAGCTAGCAAGTGCACCCAGGGGTGGTGTTGGGTGTGTGTGTGTAGCTTTGCATTGATCTTTTATAGCTAGAAGCCTCCCCTGGGACTGTGGAGTGCCATCTTTGAGACGTACGGTCATTAGTTGTGGGGAGCGTGAGGTGACATAGTGATCTTCAGGTCAGAGGTTACTTGCCAATGCTCTTCTGGGTCACCCCATCATTCGGGAGTTTTGCCTCTGGTCCCAGCTCTCAGGACCAAATTCCTCCACCATCTCTGTTAAATGGCGTCAAGGACTCATGCTGTCTCAGGAGGGTGAACCCTGATTGCAAATGTACAGACCCAGCTGCCTCCCGGGGATGGCCTGCAGGTGGTTGTCCACAGCTGGGCATCTCTGTAGCCTCTTCCTAAATGGACCCGGTCCAACGTTCCTACTCCCATCATGGTCGCAGCCTCCAAGAGAAGTTCTGTAACCAAGGCGGAGGGAGACAGACCTACGCGAGGTCTTTCCCTGGGCTCTCCGAAGGGCTACTTGAAAACCTATTAAGCTTTGTTTTTAAGAGTGTTTTGGCCAAAGGTTGATGTTTTAACGCGAAGTCAGATGTGATTCAGGGGAAAAAGCGTTGCACCCAACAAAAACAAACCGCGTCGACCTTTCGTGGTTGTTTCTCTTTGGAGATGCGAAGGGGTTTCTGTGTGTACATACGCACTCACACACATGTGCGTGCTCGTGTGTGTGGCCAAAGACAGCTAGGAGAGGATCCAGGAGAAATGGGCCTTTTTGTTTGTTTGCACAGCTGAGCCGTGGAGACTTTGCCATGATTTTTGCTTTCCCTCTTTTTATACTTGCAAGATCTTGTGTGAGCTTTCCAAGGCCCATAGTTCTACGCCTCCTCAACAGGGATTCACTGGGGTGCCCAGAACCACCTTCCAGAACCTGGGTGCTGTCTGGAGTCAAAGCAGGCATGAAAAGCTTGTCCTCCCCAAGGGTGTCTTGTCCCATAGACATGTGAGCTACTGTGGCTGGAACGCCTCGTTCCACTCACGCGATGAAGATGGCTAGAGATTAGTATTAGAAGATCTGTTCAGAATTTATGAGGTGTGAGGGTTCCTGGTTGTTCCCTAATTTGGGGTTCTGATGTTGGTCTCCACTGTGGGTTGTTTTGTTGTTTGTTTGTTTTGTGGGTTCTCCCTCCCCCCAAGACAGGGTTTCTCTAATTTTGGGACCTGTCCTGGAACTAGCTCTTGTAGACCAGACTGGCCTTGAACACACAGAGATCTACCTGCCTCTGCCTCCCGAGTGCTGGTATTAAAGGCGTGTGCTACCATGTGTTCTTAATCTGTCGTCTTCCCTACTCTGTTTCCTGCCTTTCATTTCATATAGATGTGCAGTGTGGGGCTAAGTGGAAACATTCCCCAAAATCAGTCCGTTTGAGCTAAAAAAGAAAACAAACCATTATTATTATTTTTAAACTTGAGACAGTGTCTCATATGGCGCAGACTGGTCTAGAATTCACTACCAATCATGGCTGTGTTGAGCACCTAACTTCCTGAGGTTGCACCA